CAAAGAATTTTCATTGCAAGAGACGTCAAATTTGATGAAGACTGCTTTCCTTTTAAGCAGGAATCAAACTCGAGAATTGAAGAATTAAATATAGTGCGTACAAACAATCAAGATCCAGAAGGCAATGATGAAAATGTGATAACTAGATACGAGCAAGAGGGGGATGGTGCAATGCTCGGCCAAAATGACGAAGGTGAAGATGATGTTTTAAATGAAGTATTTCAAGATACTGAGAATGTACATAGTCCAGATGCGCTCCCTTCGCAAGAAGAAAATAGTCCTTCATCAGAGGTTGTATTAAGGCACAGTGAACGGGAGCGCCGACCTCCACGTAAGTTGCTGGATTTCTTTACTGGATATAGAGCCACTTCTGCCGTCAATATTCCTACAGATTGTCCTGAAACTTTCTTTGAAATCACTAGACGAAGTGATGCGGCTAATTGGATGGCAGCAATCAAAGAAGAGCTAAATTCCATGTACCAAAACAAGGTATGGACTATAGTGGATGCTCCAAAAGGAACGAAGCTATTGAAATCAAAATGGGTTTTTCGTGTGAAGGATGATGAAAATGGTATCCCAGCTCGATATAAAGCCCGACTTGTAGCAAAAGGATTTTTACAAAAAGAAGACATTGATTATTACGAGACATATGCACCTGTAGCTAAACTTACAACAATAAGAGTAGTCCTGTCGGTGGGTGTACTTAAAAATTTAATATTTCATCAGTTGGATGTAAAGACAGCTTTCTTGTACGGAGACTTAGAAGAAGAATTGTACATGGCAATTCCTGAAGGAATTGAAGCTGAATCGGGAAAAGCTTGCAAACTCTTGAAATCTCTCTATGGTCTGAAACAGGCTCCAAGATGTTGGAATCAAAAGTTTAATCAACACTTATTGCAGCTTGGTTTTACTATATCTAATCATGATTACTGTTTGTACACGAAATTTTCTGACGATATTTATCTAATTGTTATAATGTATGTGGATGATTTGCTTATTGCTGGGAAAGAACTTTCCTCTATCAATTGGCTTAAAAAAAATTTAAGCAAGAAATTCGATATGTTCGATTGTGGCGAACTGAAGTACTTTCTTGGAATCAAAATTGAAAAACAGGATGACAGCATTAAACTATCACAAGAAGCAAGTATAGAGAAAATACTTACAAAATTTGGTATGACTGATTGTAATCCTGTAAGGAGCCCGATTGAGAAAGGTCTACAGCTTGTACAAAACGATTCGCAAACTGAACTTAATAAACCTTATAGAGAGATGTTGGGAAGCTTGATGTATATTATGCTTTGTGCAAGACCAGATATATGTTATGCAGTTGCATATTTGGGTAGATACCAACAAAACCCATCGGAAGAACATTGGCAATGTTTGAAAAGAATACTTAGATATTTAAAAGGAACTAAAAAGTAAAACAGTAAATAAACCAATTATCGGATTTGCAGATGCTGACTGGGCAAGCGATGCTACAGATCGTAAATCAGTTAGTGGATTCATTTTTCAGGTTTATGGTTGTACGGTATCATGGTCAAGCAAAAAAACAAGTAACTGTTGCATTATCATCGAGTGAATCGGAATACGTTGCTTTAAGCGCAGCAACTACAGAAGCGGTTTGGTTATATGGATTGCTAAGAGACCTTAATGAAATAGATAACCGTCCAGTTGAAATATTCGAAGATAATAGAGGTTGCATTGGAATGGCAAATACTTTGGAATCAAATAGAGCAAAACATATCGATATAAAACATCACTTCATAAGAGATAATATTGCAAAGGGTATAATCAAATTGACACCAATCAACACAGAAGATCAACTTGCAGATATATTTACCAAGGCTTTAGATGCAACTCGATTTAAGATGCTTAGTAACAAATTAGGGTTGAGAGATTGAGAAGGGGTGTTGAGTTTTGTTTTATTTAAACAATCTAAGCAATCTCTGTATTTGTAATTTTAGAATATTGTCATATTTTTTCTCACTTGAAAACTTTTATTCAAACCAAACGTGTACATTTTCTGGAATATTAAATCTTTTCTTATATACAACCAAGGACTTTAATAGAAACTAAAGGAGATATCCAAAAATGGAGAACGTCATTTTTAATATATTGATTAGTTTAATATGGCTGCATCACTAACTAAATTTTTACTAAATTATCGAAAAAATTGTAGTCAATATCTCGGAAACTAAAGGAGATATCTGAAAACTGATAACACCAATCGAAGGACGTTATTTCAAAATATATAACTGCATCTAGACCAAAAAATTGTCAAAATTGCGCTTACGACAATCTTTTACCCAGGCGACGATTTGTACAGGAGAGTTATTTAAATTTTTCCTTCCGTGACCACTTCCAAGAAGTGTTGCCGTTGAGAATTTTCAGAAAGTCGCAAAAAAGGGGTAATTGTCGAAAAAAAGGGTCACCATATTATTTTTGCTTTTGTTTACTAGTAAAAGAATAGATCTGTTGACTTTAAAAAGAAAATGGCGGGACAAGCTTGGCATAAAACAGGGATGCAAGCATACACATAATTCTAATTGCTGCAAGAAGAAGAGTTGTATTTCCTTTAAAAGTTTTAAGTAATGCATTTTTTAGTACTTACAGGAGGAAATATTTTTTAATAGCATGGTTCTGTTAACATTTCCTAAAAACATCTCTGAAAAGGGGCCAAAGTCGCACATAATTTTGGAAAGGAAAATCAAAATTTTAAAAAAAGTCGGGTCAAAGGGTATTGGCGCTTAAAAAGAATCAAATTGCTCCTTTAGTCGCACAACGGAAACACTGCTTCCAAGCTTTGAAGAAATAATCCTGGAAGATATGTACATATGTAGCACTAAAACTACTTGTAAGCCACGAAAAATGGAATTTTTCCAAAAAATCGTATTGATTGGAATGCGATTAAATCACCAAATATTATTTATTCAGATGACCAATGTATTGTATGTATGTATGTAGCATTTCCATGCGAAGATCTTCTTATACCGTATTACGTTGGATACAGAAGAAAAACAACATTTTTCATAATTCATTCATTCTTTTATACCCCCGAGTTAATTGGAGCCAAAATAACATGTCGTCGTTTAAAGTACAAAACCGCGTATCAGCAAAACCACGTATGTGAATTATGTAAATTATTTTCTAGAGAGTAAAAACACTCATATTTTAAAATTGTTCTCTTTTTTATAAAGCAGTCGCATTTCTGGCTAGTATATTTCAGGACGAATGGCTAAGGATACAGCCAAGAGCTTGTGTGAGCAAATAAAATTTTTGGCAGCAAATGTCAGTTACGCAGTTTCGCAGAATGGCGATACGCGGTTTTGTACTTTAAATGACGATATGCATGTGCTTTGCATGTACATATATTCTGTATATATGTATTTCACTTAATTTACATATAACAAAATCCATTTTGGGTTCTTTTGTAAAGAGGAACAAAAGAAACCAGTTTGACTAAATTATCTTTTACGGTTTTTATCAAACTTTCAAAGTGAGCATTCAGGTAAAAGAATTAAAGATAAAAAATCTTTAGTATTGGCCGACGCACTTAAGGCTTTATATCTGCTTGCTATCTACAAATATTCCAATGCGTGCGATCGGCGAAGGTTTCCTCTATGGCACATAACTAAAAAAAAAAAGGCGGCAGAAACCATCTTAAAATCAGGTGATCTCAGCAGTTAAGTGTATTTGGAAAATGTCTGATTCTGATATAGCAATATTTCCCCACATAGTTTTTTAATATTCCATGATTTTTGTGATTGTCACAAGACATTATTAGATTGGTTGAACAACACTCTGCAAAAATTAAAATTTTCAGAGCAGCATGATCAAGGTAAAATTAATTTGGAAATGGATATGCTATCTTTCGGTTGCAATTACTTTTAGAATGTTTACACCGAAAAGGGATTTTTTACTGAAGGTGTATTTAAATATATCCTACCAAAATCTGTCATAAACGCAGTTTAGAATTAAGGTAACGCCTTTGTGAATTAAGGTAACGATATGTAGGTACCTACTTCCATGGCAATTTTAATCGCACTTTTCACTGATGCCTGATGGGGTTTTTTGAAATTTTGTTATTTTAGCACAGGAATTATTCACTGCATTATTTTTGGCGAAGGACTGTCGTTCTAGCTTATTGCCCAAACTTCTTACGCGATTTTATACTATTACTCCGATAGGCTGCGATCCCGGGCCGAGCAACACCTGAAAAGAAAACGCATATTTGGGACGGTAAATGGCAAACCTCCGCGCGCATTTGTTCGGATGTGGGATGTGTGTGTTATTCGCGTTATAACATCAGAAAGTAAACCAGAAATTGAAGAAGTTCGTTTTCTTGTAATAAAATTGGTTGCGTTAAATTCGGAGCTTCGATGCGCCTTTCCAATTAAAAAAAAAAAAA